CGTGCTGCAGTTTTGAGGAGGGGGAGGCCTCCGGCTCTCACCGCTGATGGTTCGCGCCAGGATCGCGCCCATCGGAGGGACTAACGGCCCCGCTGAGGTAGCCCATCGCGCCGAGGAAGGGGACGGGGAGGGTGAGCAGGGTAACCGAAGCCCGGGAGCCCCCACGCAACTACCACCCTGCCATCCCCGGGGGGCGACGCCGGCTTCCCCACCCCGGTTAGCCCTTGCGGAGGAGCAGCGGGTGCCGAGGAGGCACCCAACCGCGGCATGAACCCCGGCGTCGCCGCGCTGAGACCCAATTTTCCAGGCAGAGATTGCGAAGGCAAAGGTAACCCTGTTAAAATAAGGGCAAAGAGGAGAACGGGGCAGGAACCAGCCATGATGCTCCAGGGTCCCCGTCCCCCCACCCTGCGTTTTGGGCATCGTTTTTGCCAGCGGCGGGGTGGGGGGCAGCAGGGCTGGGAAGCGTACCGGGGCGTTCGGGGAGGGGGGTAACGTCGCGGCGTTGCAGGAGGCTGTCGGGGCACCATCGGGTGGCTCGATGCTGCTCCGTCGTGTCCCACGCTGCTTCCCGGCGGACGTCGTGCAGGAAGAAGGGATGTGCTGGAAGAAGGATGTCGTGCGGGCGCCCGCGGAGGACCCAGAGTCCCCCTCGTCGCCCCGGGGAGAGGAATCGAGCCCGGGCTCGAGTGCGAGACCCTTCATCCCGGCACGGCTCCGCGGAGGCAGGTTTTTGGGGCACGGGGCTCTTCTGCTTCGGCCGGCGGGGACGTGCCCCCACCATAAAGTGCTCCGGGCTCCCCGCCCGGCCGCCCGCGTCCTCGCCTGTCCCTCCGTGCTGGTGCCGTAGTGCTTTGGTTGTCTCCGAGTCCCCCCGGGCCGGCGGCGGGGCAGTCCCTGGGTCGGCAGAGCTATACGATGTTCTCTGCGCCGGGGAGGGGGCTCTGGGGGGGGCCGGGGTCCTGCTTGCTGTGCAGCTGGGCCAGCTGCAGCACCGGCATGTTGCAGAGCGGACACACTTTTCGCACTTCCAGCCATTTGATGAGGCACCTGGGGGGGCGACACAGACAACGGGGAGGGGGTTATTACACAGGTGCTGCAAACCCACCACCCAGCTTGGTGCTCCGTGAACCCCATCAGGGTGGCAGCCACCCCTGTCCCCCCCACGGTGGGTGACGGGCCGTGGCCTGGGGGGGGGCCATGGGCCGGGTTGGATCTGTTGTCGCCCTCCCCGGAGCACTGATGCTGCCGAATTTTTAATTCGGCATTTAGGTGCCCGTACATGGTATTAGGACATTTTTGTGTGTGTGTATATACACATGGATATAATATATTTTTATATATATAACTGATATCTATTCGTAAAATAGATAAAAAATGTATACACATGCATAAAAAGACATAAAATACATATATACAACACAAAAAGGCATATATGAATGTATTCATTTTATAAATACATAACCTATCAACTGTATATACACATCATATATATACACAACATACAGATATAATGTGTATATATTGTATATATATAAATTTTATATGTATGTATCTTAGAAAAATGTAAACCACTATGAATTTTATATGCACTTTTTTCATAGAAGCATAGACTGAGTTGGAAGGCACCCATCAGGATGATCGAGGCCAACTCCTGACTCGCCACGGGGCAACCTACAAGTTAAACCCCAAATCCAAACGCTTTGACCAAATGCTTCTTGAACGCCAACTGCCTTGGGGGCCGTGACTGCTTCCCTGGGGAGCTTGTTGCTGTGGTTCTGAATATCTATTTTATAAATATATATAAATTTTGTATATGTAAATATATATACACACACAAATGTACATACACATTTTGGAACGTATAAAGTGAAGCGGTTTTGCCAGTTCACGACTGGACTTTTGCTGCTCCCAAGGCTCCAATTCATTCCATAAAGGGCTTTTGCTGCAATTCCCCTGTTCCCCTGGAATTGGGGTGGGAAGAAACCTTGGAAAGGGGAGCAGAGGCCCCAGGAGACCTGACACCAAGAGCCTCCTGGGGCCGCTGGGCAGGATTTGGGGCAGCCCAGCTTCCATGTCCCATTCCCTGCACTCACTTTCTGTGGAAGGCATGTTTACAGGGACAGATCCCCAGCTCGTCCTTGGGCTTGAACTCCTCCAAGCAAACGGCACAGATCTGAAAGACGCGAGAGGTGGAGAGAGAAGGCAGTCAGCAGCCGGGAAGCATTCTTTTTGCACATACAAACTACACGGGTATCTTCGAACCGGCCAAAATACTCTCCCCGAAAAAACCCTCCCCCTAAGCAATGTCCTCGGCCAGTTTCTATCTTTTTCCCAGTGCTCGCCTCGCCCCTACCTTTGCTCGGCGGGGAAAAAAAGGGCAATTTGGCTTCTGATGCCAGTGAGGGTACACTGCAGGGAGAGAGCAATACCTCCTAGTACCACAGGGAAAGCAAATGCCTCTTTTGCTATAAACCCTCTGTTTTGACCAAGAAACTGCTTTTTTTTTTTTTTTTTTTTTTTTCCCCTTTGCTGCCGAAGTCACGTTTGGGAGGTTTCTGCATTGCAGAGGGGTGAAATCCCCCCTAAAGCCTTCCCAGATTTCACTTCCCAGGCTTTGGGATTGCAGGCTGAGCCTTGGGTCTCCCTTTCCCGGTGGATGGGACCCTGGAGCCCTCCCAGGAGCAGCAGCCGCAAGGCTGGGATGTGTTTTGATTGTGCCAAGAGGCTTTAGGGTGCAGGTGGATGGATCCGTGCAGCTGCTTGGTCCCTGGGACTGAGCTGCATCCTCAGGGATAACTCTGGGAAGAGGAAAAGGCAAAGGGTGCAGCATCTCCGCCCCGGGGCTGGGAAGGTTGGTGGCTGTTTTCCCATTGGGCAAAAGACCCAGCCGAAATCTCCTTCCCCCATGCTGCTGGTTTTTCCTGACTCATTTTGGATATTCCTGGGGATTTTGTATATGTTTTTCCCAGCCCCGCTCCCCTGCCCCCCCCCGGGAGTCTCCAGCAGTCTGAAACAAGGGCCAGCCCCATTGCCAAAAGCCTTCAGGATGAAGCAGGCGGCTGGCAAGCGCGGCCGGAGGCTCCCGGCTTTCCCGGGGACACGGCGCCCATCGATACTTTCCAGCCACCCAAAGCTCGTCGGAGACTTTTTTACTGAGTGAGCAAATGCTGGCGTAGCTGCTCGGATCGGTCCCCAAGGAACGCAGACATCTTGAGCCCCGGGAAAGCCAGGGAGAGGAAAAAAGAGGAAAAACAAACCCAGAAACATAGGGCTGAAGAGCTTGGTGGGGACTTTCCCCTCTGCAAGGCTCCAGGCGAGCCCTGGCAGCCATCCCGTGATGTTGCAAAATCCCCCCTGTGCTCCGCTTTCCAGAACCGCTTACTGTAAATACCAAAATCCAAACACCCGAAAAGGGATGTTTTGGAAGGGGCTGGAGCAAAACCCTTCCAGCCTTTCCCAAATCCCAGGGAAGAGTTGGAGCTGCTCTATCCCCTTCCCCATGGACCCCTCATCTTCCCTGAAAGCGTTTGGGCTGGGAGAGCTGTGGCGAGCTGGGAACAGAGGTGATGGAGGAGGATGACGGAAGGTTAGTACTGCCGTTCCCAGCTCCGGCGTGCTCCCAAATCCCCCCCCTCAAGGAGCTTCTCACTGCGGGAAGTGCTTTTAAGTCTGCATGCATGCAAAAAACCCCACTGCAAGTCAATTTAATGTGAGCAGATCAGAAATAGGGGCCTCAAGCCTCAGCTGCAGGGAGCGTAGGGTGAGGATGAAATGTGGGACGGGCTCTCGTTGCTCTGCTCGGGGAATTAAAAATAAAATAGCAGCTTATAAACAAATGGAGCTGGTATTTAACAGACAAGCGGACTCGTGTCTCGGATGCGGGTGGGCATTTTTGTTGTCATTAGGGGAAATAAATCCAGCCCGTGTTTGAAGCAGGGTTTGAGCAGCTTGCTGCTCAACTTCAGCATGAAAAATGGTCTGTAAATAGGGACACTTAGCCCTAAAAGAGTCTGGAAACCTGCAGAGAACAACTAATGTGTTTTAAACCTGAAGGAGCAGGTAGGTAGCGGTGGATTAGGGTAACACCGTTACTCCGAGACATGTTTCAGTCTCCAGAGATCCTCTTAACTCATTAACACAGAGGGACCCAGCAAGGAGCCACTGCTGTGCCTACATCGTGGGGCTGGGGCCGGCGCTGCCACAATTCCCCCTGCAAGGTTTAAATGCAAAGTCCGCCAGGGCTTTGACTTACGGCTGCCGCGGGCTCTGCCCTCCTCCCAAAACTGAGAAGAAACCCCCGTGGTTTTGGGGCTGGAAAAAAGGGGTTTTAATTCTTAATACTTCCTAGTAGACATCCCTTTGCCTCCCTCTTCCAGCCAGCTCTCCTCTGCAAAGCTGCAAACCAGGAGCGCGAGGGGCAGAAGCCTAGGGAACGTGTTTATCTTCGATTTCAATTAAATCCCAGCAGAGTTTACTCTGCCCAAGTAACATGGCCGGCAGAGATGTGCTGGATATCATCATGCTCTGACGGTGGCGAGGCAGAGCGGGGCTGGAGGGGGCATAACTGTCAAGGGACACTGTTTATACACCGCTTAGCCTGCATCTGCCTCCCCTTTTATACACGGATTTTTATCGCAGTGATAATAATAATGCAATAAATAATAATAATAATAATGTAGTAAATAATAATAATGCAGTAAAAGCTAAAGGGGATCCAGAAGGAGGAGGGAGATGGTTTAATGCAGACCCCCTTTGCAGATGTGCTTTTACCGGCTGCATAAACAAGCAATTAGACTTGCTCAAAGAGAAAAGCAGCGTCAGGAGCTGCTGTTAACCTACTCTGGCCGTGTTCCCTGTAACGAGGTAGGAGGCTGCAGAGCAAACCCCGCTGCTGGCAGCAAGCGGGCGGTGATGCCAGCACACCTCTGCAGCCGGGTAAAATCACCGCAAACACCCTGTGCTGCCCCCAGGCACTCACAGACCAAGACGAAGTCTTTGAGGCTTTGGAGTGCCCCGTTTCTCCAAAAACAAGTAAAACAGTTGTGCTTTCCAGATTTCCAAAGCACGCTAGCTGTGTGTTTTGCTCCTGATGGAGTTAATTTTGAGTTTTTGCAGCCTCCTACCTGTGCCAGCCTTTGCCTGTCCTCCATCACCTCCCCAGTGCGAGGAAGAGGAGGGTGAGGGAGTCTTTGCTGCTACGCTACCGCCCCAGGGATGTACTCACCTCATGTAGGTTCAGCTCCTTCACCTTCTCCTTGAGTATAACCTGTAAGACAGAGCGCCGGGGTCAGGACACAGCTTCTGCCATGAGCATTTGGAGAAAAAGTCTTCGTAAAGAGAGATCCCATTTAGCGTCCCAGTAGAACTGGAAACCCCCAGTAAATCTGAAACAGCCAGCGAGCACATCGGGTCTTCACCCCTGTGCAGGAACAGGAGGAAGGCAGCGCTGGCACAGCTATAACCACTAACATGAGGACCAAATTCAGGAGGTCTCCTCCCAAATTTAAACCTCCTGGGCTCCCACACTCTGCAACAAGCTCCTGCACGGACATCTGCCACTTCGTTTTCACTTTATCCAGGCTGAACACCTGGAGAGGGCTATAAATCCAGGACAACCATGTGTTATCATATCAGCCCAACTCCACCCAGTTTCCTGCTTGAACGACAGATCGGAGGCAGAAAAATTACACGAGCCCTGGAGAAAACAGGACATTGAAGCAGCAACCTGACACCAACCTCTTGGCCGTGTTTATTTTAACAAGGGCGCTGGCGCGTGTGGGTGCATGCAGAAAGCAGCTGGGTTTGCCAAGGTGATGTGGAGGTGTTCCCTATGAGATCCCCATGGCTGCGAGTGGTCCAGAGCAGCTGGGTCCAACCTGGGGAGCAGATTCGGACCCCACAAAACATCGTTTGATTGCTGGGGAAGTGACAGCATTACTGCTCACCAGCGGGAAATAACGTGAGGGTTTGGAGAGGTTGCCCAGTTGAGGTGCTCCAGGGGTGGAGATGTCCCCACCGCTCAGGAACCTCATCTGAAAATGTGAAGACCTGGAGACTAACAGGTGAGAGATGCTCCTGGGGTGCCCAGCTGGTAGAAAAAAATTAAATCAGCAGGGACAGAGGTTTGCCCGGGTGTTACAACTTCTCTTCAAAGACCAAAAGCCTCCCAAGGAGAAGAACAACACAAGGAAACCTGCAGGAGTGACTACTCCAACGTGGATATGGCACTAAGCCGAAGGAGAGAAGAAGACAACTTACTGTGTATCATCTCACCTGTTTGTAGGCGTAAAGCTCTTTGTGTGCTTGATGTCTGAGCCTGCAATCAAAATAGGGAGAAACATGAAGACAAGTAAAAAAATCAGGATTACTGTAATATCCCAAACATTTCATTTCCCTGCTTTCCAGATTAAATATATATTTTTTTTATTTTTCATTTCAGAACCGAGAATGGCCATGTGAAACGACGCATTTAAGCAACAGCCAGCTTTCCCTGTAGCTGGGAGGGCAACATCTCCATCCAGAAGCATGCAACCTCCTCCCCTTTTCCTCTTTCAACCTCCTCGATTTTCCACACAGACATCACCTGCACCGTTAAGACCAGCAAAAGCTGTTGAGGTGCCATAAATACCCCCAGTTTCCAACCGCTTCTACTGCCAACCATTTCTAGACTGGACGCGGCACCATTTTCCAAGCGATGGGTATTCAGACCCGAGGAAAGCTCTGCTCCCACTCGAGCAAGGACAGGGAAGGAAACCTCCCTGCTCAGAGGTTTCCCACCGAAGCCCCCATCATTCTGCTTGGGCGATGTTAGTTTCCTCAAACGCAGCTTTATCTTCTATCACAAGATCAATCGTGCTGCTTCTGCCTCCCAAACATTCAGGAAGAAGCATTCAACAAGAGGTCATCCATCTGGTTGAGCAAGCAAAGGATGGCTATTTATCTGAAGACAACACCAGAGCAGAAAGCTTTGGAAAAGCAGTAATGGGACATCTTCCATCTCTTGCCTCCTATCATGGGGGGGACAACTTAATAACCAGAGATAACGAGCTGCCAAAAACTGCAGGAGAACGAACCTGTATCTTGGGATTTTTTGTTTTGGGGTTGATTTTTTTTTATCAGGAGAGCAGACGAGGGTGCGCTATGTTAAAGCACAGGGTGACAAGCCCACGCAATCCTGCCCTGGGGCCAGAGTCGATGCAGCAGTGGAGCAAAATCAGGATTATAAACTGCATAAGCTGCTTCCCCCCGCCTACCTTTTGAAGCATCATGCTTAGCATGGTTTTGGGGTTTTGGGTGGGTTTTTTTACCCAACAGCATCCATTCCTGGAGCAAATCAAGGGACAGAGATGGAGGGGATGAACCTATTCCAAAAACACCTGCTGCAGCGAGAAGTCCAGCTGGCGGCAGCAGGAATTTGAAGCCACAAGCAAAGGGCTGGTCCCATCCCCTCCCTCCCCAGCCTCCCCTCTCCAGGACGCATGGCCTTTGTCCCCATTCCTGAGGACTGAGCGAAACAGCAAACATACACACATCACATCCCTCCACAGTTTTCAGTTGAAACTATTATTAATAAAACATCTTCCCACAGCAGAACAAGCAGCAGCCCATTTCCCACAGCCCGGTGGAGTGCTCTGCAGGTATCAGCTGGCTGGAGGAGCTGATTATGCTCCTAAAATAGATACGTTTTAAAAAAACCCAACCAACTAATATTGCTTCTCATTACAAGATACGGCATTTAGCGAAGCACTCTGGAAACTCAAGAGGGAAGTCATCGAGGATAAAGAGTTGGCCAAGGACCTTTAATAAGATGTCAATGTGTGTCTGCAGGGCTTGGACAGCCATAGGAGTATTTTCCCCAGCCAGCCTTGAGTGTGATTTCAAATTGGAAACCCCTTGCCTGTAATTTCACTTCTCCAAAAGTATTCTGGGGGCTGTCTCAAACCCCAGCTGTTTCACCCTGAGCTCTCAGAGGCCTTCTGATCCTGCAAGGCTGCAGTGAGCGAGTTATAAAAATAGGATGTAAAAATAATATCTCTGTCCTTTTTGCTTGAAAACACCCTCCCAAAATGTCATGGGCCTTAAAAGTCAAGGAATGGGTAAAAATGCACCTTAATGCTTCCAGGAGAGTTGCAGTAAGTCAGCTCTTGAGCCCTGAATTTAGCAGGGAGCCATCCCACCTCCTCTAATGATGCTGCCTGGCAGAGAACCTGCCTGCAGAGCCACGGATAAAATTGCAGCAGGCAGGAAGGAGAAGGCTGGGGTTTCATCCCTCCGCCAACGACCCTGAGCAGAAACACAAGCAGAAGATGCACGAACAATAGAGAAAACAGGATGAAACCGGCCCAATCCACAGGGATCCCGGCGGCTGGGAAACTGGTTATGAAACACAGATGGGGCAAAGCAAGATGCGTGGCTGGAGACTGCATACAAGAGGAAAATCTCTCCCAGTACGGGAAAAAGCATGTCTTACAGAGCACCGAGTGGCTGCCGAGACATTGGCCCTGATAAGCCAAAGCCACCTGAGGGAAGGTGTCACGCAGAACAAGCCCAAGCATCTGCGGACACCGTGGAGGCATCTGGACCAGCGATGGGGAAGAAACAACCACCTGGCCACAGATCCGTGCAGCTCTGTGCCATCAGAGCACGGATGCTACAATGCCACGGGCTGGTGCTGAGCTAGACGGGGAGACTTTGCCAAAAAGAAAAAAAAACCAAACCAAAACTCCCTGAAGGTTATGGGGAACGGCACGAGCACATATGGTCCCGAAGCGTGCAAGCTGGGTCTGCTCCTCCACGCTTTCCTTTCAAAGCCAGGATCCTGGGCCAGATGGATCCCGGTCGGACCTAGCGCAGCTGTCGTAACGAGACCCCGGGTCCTGGCAAGCGTTACTCCCCATCGGACCCAGGGCTTCATCCATCTCGTGTCAAGAGCTGCGACTCTGGAGGAATTTCTGGCAGATGGCTGATTTAGATAAGGGACCACACAGCATCTTAAAAGCCAGCGCGTGGCCAGATACCGTGCACGTACACACACCGTCACCCATCCCTGAATTTAATAACTGCCTCTCGTGGATTTTGTGATCTCTTCCCAAGCTTTCCATGCCTCCCACAGGAAAGGGAGCACTCCATTTCTCTGCATGACTCCAAATCATCTATAGCAAGCCAACAACTATGGGAATAAAATGCAGAGGAAACAACTTTTTGCAGGTTTACCTCCAAGATCTGCTTATTTAACACTTTACAGCAGAAAGAGTATAAAGCTACCGGGCACTGGCTCTTTGCCCCATCACTGCATCGCTCTCCCCAGCCCAGTCCGGCTCCTTGGGCTCTCCAAACCCAACCACTGACTTTGATCCTGGCAAGTTCGGACGCAGAAGGAAAAAGCCCTTTAAAAATGGCTTTTTAAGGGCTATGTACCCTGCACCTTCTATAGACATTGAGCCGCTCCAGTTTGGGCAGAGACGAGCCCCGTGCAACCCACAGCAAAGCACAGGTAGAGAGGATGCTGCAGCTTTTACCCAGGACGAGCGTGCACACCTTTCAAATGCTTGGCAAGCACAGCATTTGGCTCAGCATCCTTCTGAATTGGGTTTTAGGGGACTGAAGGCAACATGAGGTTGTTACTGTTTATCAGTTCAGCAGAGATCAGACACAAACGGCTGCCTGCAAAATTTCTTTTTCTTCCCTTTTTTTTCCCCCTCATTTTTCCAAGCAGAGGCAGCAGCCGTGAGAGTGGGACCCTTGCTTTATACCGGAGTGGTTTGCAGTGGCAGAAGAGGTTGAGATTTGCCTGGACTGCACACAGACAGTGATGATGTTTGCTTAGCTTTTGGCTGAAATTCCTATTGGACTCCATTTTGAGCCAACCCGATTAAAAACATCACTCCTTCCTCCCCTTGAACTGGGCAGCGCACTCTGTATTGACACAGTTGCGAAGCGCAGCCCACATGCCCTCCTCCGCCAGCGCATCCTTTATTTAATGCCGTCAGCTCTGTGATTAGAGGTAAATACACCAGATATTGGCTCTTCCACACTTCGGATGCCTCCCCAGCCGGGGATGTGGAGAAGGGCTGCATGGGATGCTCTGATCCAGAGCAGGCGATGAGAACCAGGGCCCAGAGGATGGTGTTATGAGCTCCGCTTGTTATTTACCAATATTTGCAGATGTGAGAGTCACGAGAGAAGAGGGAGAGGGAGGGCTGCGTTGCCTCTGCACCTAAGCAGGGCCTGGGAAAAGCCACGAGCCGCTGTTACCTGCGAATAACCCTCACGGGTGCAAAGCGGAGCCCTGGAGCTCCCGAGAGGATCGTACTTGCCCACACCCCTCTGCCCTGGGTCGGTTTCTCTGTGACGACATGGTTTGATCCATGGTGCATCTGCTTGTTAAATTAACACCTCTCTTTTATACAGCCTCCAGATGTAATTCTGTATTAAAGCCACGCATCTCATTGCAGAAGGGGTCAGGAATGCATGGGGTAATCCAGGAGGCTTTAGCAGCTGGTTCAGGACAGGGAAAAATTCAACTTAAATTCAATATCTTACTTTGTATACCAAATCCTCCTGCTGCAAGGCTATGGGTATTTGCTTGCTACGCAGCCAGGCACCAGCAATGCTTTGGCGTTAAATGGCAAAGCCTTCCTGGAGCAATCATTTGGGATGCTCTGCACTTGCAGGCACATGGTCCTCATCCCGCTGTCCATCTACAAGGCTTTCCAAATCACACCAAAGCTCAAGCTTTTCTGCCCCACACAAGCTGAGATTACACAGCAAATTCAAAGGAGGTGGATGCTCCTGGGGCACATCGGCACACCTAAAACCCATGGCATGGCGAAACCCTCCAAAATGGGGGCTGGAGGATTCCTGTTTGGCTCTGTTTTGCCAATAATAGAGCCAGCAGTGGTGGTCTGAGGAGCAATTTGTAGAGTCTCTGTAGAGTTTAGAGCTATGAAGGGATCATTAGATGATCTAATCCAACCTCCCATCTATCGTGGTTTGTTAAATAGCACTTTGTTACTCCTTGGAATGGGAGCCAAAACGTCTCATCCAGAAAGGTCCTCTGTCTTGATTTAAAGACAGGAAGAGATGAAGGATTTGCCACTTCCCTTGCTGGCTAGTTTCACCCGTTACTCACCCTCTCTCTTACAACACGCCTCCAACTTCTAAATTTAAAGATTTTCTGGCTTGATCTTCCAGACATTACTACTTGTTATTTCTTCTTTGGGGCAGAACACACCCAGCAAGACCCAGTGCCCAGGAAAATACTCTGAAAGTCCAAACACTTCTTCATTTTGCAAGTGAGCCATATAGATTCAAGCTCAATCTGGGCAAAACATGTCCTTGAGCCTTCTGAACACCATTTGTTTATTTTTTTTGCATCCCCTCCCATTGGCATCCCAGTTAAAACACAAACACTGGACGCAGATGCAATATCCCAGCACAGACCTTGTTAACATCAAGCACCGAGATACAAATTGCCAGGTCAGGGATGACCCCTCGATGTATTTCTGCTTTGTCTGCCGGGGTGAACAGATACATTGCACCTTCAAACACCCTTTTCTTGTGCATAATTGCAGGCAAAAATGAAGATATGATGCCCAGACAGCCCAAATCACACCTGGGTAAGCCTGGATTTGGGCTCATCTGCAAGTTTTATGAGGTTTTGCTTTGTACAGAGCTGAAAATAGGCAGAAGTTATCAAATATTTAGAAGGTGACATTGAAATCTTGCTTCCCTGATCTACAAAAACAGGACAAAACATTTTCAACACCCTCTGGATAGAAAACCTGGTGGGACTGGCTGCTGTGATCCAGCCAGATGCAGCCTCCATGGTGCAAGAAGAGACCAGGTGCCTGTCTTACAGGCACGGATGGAGGGAATGCAATGGATGTACGGCTAGCAGGGAGCTGGGGCCATCTGAAAAGCCAGAGGGCAAGGAAAGGGGATGGAAAAGCTCTTCGGCAACTTGGTGGGAGAACTCTGGGTGCGCAGGATTTCGGCAGCTGATGCCAGCACAGAGATGCCCTGTGCTCCTGGGTACTGGGAGAGGCACAGTGAGCCCCACATCCCGGGTTATCAGCACAACTTGTCCCCATCGCCACCTCAATTCCCAGGCACCACGTTTTTCCCCACTTGCCTCTTGCTTTCCTTCTGGCAGGAAGAATTTCTCCTCTTAATTAGTGGCCCAACTCACTCCCCAATGGCCCATAAAATAATTAAAACAAGCCCCAAACTGGAACAACCTTTAACCCTCCTGCCCCGCTCCCCATCGTTCAGATTAACAAATCAACTCTGCATCATTAATCTCTAAACTGTGCTGTTGAATGAGCAATTTGTGTACAATAACGAACAGAGCAGGTATTAAACATTTCTTAAGCACACAGTACACAAGTTACTCATTAAAGAGGAAAACGTGTTGAAACATTAAGCAGAAAGCAGCAACCATAAAACATCCCTTTCCAGTCTTTCTGAGAAGCCAACCATATTTTCATGCCTGTTTGAGCATACATATATCTCCTGTTTTAAAGCGGATAATGCAATTGCCTTGCAGGACCGGTAACTCCAAGACGTGTTGGACAGACGGCGTGCAGTGCTCACTGTGTACGCACTAGGTCTATTAGGGATGAATGCTGGGTCTGACACTACATGGCTGAGCAAATTCTTTGATGATGAGGGCAAGTTAAACCACTTCAGGGGTCACATCAGGCTGGCACGAGACGCACCGTGGAAAGACAAGGTGATGCCATCCTCTTTTTGGGATGGAGGGATCAGCAACAGCCTTGGTCTGAACCATGGCGGCTCTTGAAAGCAGCTGGCAAACTTGCCCTTACCTGATCAAGTAGCAACAGAAGAGCAAACTGAGGATGAAGACGAAGATGGCCGTGCCAAAAACCACGATGTATATGTTGAGAGGCAGGTTCTGGAACCCGATGTTCGGCATCCTGAAACTGTAATGCTGGAAGTCCGAGCTCATGGGTAGGCTGCGGAGACAGGGAGAAAACACAGATGTGAGGCTCCTTTGGCAGCACGGGATGCCCTTCGGAGACCAATGCTCCCTCCAAAGGTAGGTGGCAGGGGAAGGAGAGGGCAATGAGCAGTGCTGCCTCCTCGCTCCTCACCCTCCCTGGGTGAAGGCATCCTTGCCCAAAACCGAGTCCCTGGCTCAGTAACCCTGAAAACAAAACGGGGCTGGATCAGCCGGATTTTTCTTCTCCTGCTGTGAGCTTCTCCTCCAGCTATTTTCCCCTCTTCCTTACACACGTCATCCTTTAAGTTAAATGCTGCATCAGATGGATGGCGGGGATTTGCATCCAAGCAGCCCCAGCTGCAGTCAATGTCCCCCAAGCCCCTCATTAATTAGGCCAAAATATTGAAAGCAGCCAGAAAGCCTTATAGCAAGGCAGGTTTTCCTTCCCTTCCCCTCCTGCGGTTTCCAACACCAATTCCTCATTCTGCAGAAATCCCCCCTCCAAAACCATCGAGCATGCACATGAACCAGCACAGGTTCAACACGCTCCCAGAGCATCCCTGGCAGAAAGGAGAGGACAAGGATGTGCTACACGGCAGCACTGCCAAGAAATTATAGGGGCCATAAAACGGACTTGGTTTGTTTTTTCCACATGAGATCCAGGTTTGGTGGTTTAAGGGCATTTTTGCAGGTTTCAGCTTTATTCCTCAGTACAACCCCCGGCTGCTTTCCCCCAGCAAAATCCCCAAGCACCCGTGAGCGGCAGCAAAGAGGAAGATGCAGCGATTTTGCCTGTTGATGTACCACATCTCAGACGCGTGACCAAAACCTCCCTCCCCTCAGAGAGACCCAGTTAAACCACGAGCAGCTGCTTGGGATAACAACTTCAGAGTATCATCTCTCCCATGATTTTAGTTTTATGATTCACCGCATGGGACACTAATATTTTACAATAACCCTAACAGGGTTTTTCAGGAGTCAGGCAGAAAACCAGCCCCATGTCTCTGTATCGCCGTAAAAACTCCCTTGCTGCCAAACACCATGTTAATACTCAAAACCTTTAACTGGAAAGCACATACTTATTATTTCTTCTTACTCCTTTCTATTGCAATCATTCTCTGAGCCACTCACCCTTGAATGACCACAACTGTCTCTAGCCAGGCATAAAGTTCACCCACCCCCAGCTTAGAAAAGGAAGTTAAAAAATATGCCTTATTTTCCTTTCTGCCCACAGGAGAGGGCTGGACGTGCAATTAAGTTTCACAACAAGCAGGGAAAGTACCTGAAGTCTGAATCCTGTTTCCTAAATAAAATTACTAGGGGATAACAAAACCCTCCCCCAGAGCGGGGAGTTTTTAACGGCGCATTAATTGCACAGCTCCCAGTTTTGCATGGGGTGGAAAGACGGCGGGGAGAACACGGGACCTGAACCCAAACGTGCCGGGGAGCTGTGCTCCAAAAATCAAAGTATCCTCTGAATGTCCCACTCCTCCAAGCAGCATCCTTGCTTCTGCATCTCCTTTCCCCCTAGAGACCCCTTTTTTGCCGAACATCCTGGGCTTTCCTCTATCCTCCCATCATATATTAATTGCTCATATATATGTTGCACGCTCCCCAGCAAAAGGGAGCGGACTCACCTTTCATCCCAGCTGCTTTGCTGGCACTAGCCCCTTGCCCGCACCCTCTTTGCACCCCTCGCTGAAGACAACATCTCTGCTGGTGCCGAACGCCTGCCCGAGAGCCTCCTCGCTCCGGCTGCTTTCGGCTTCCTTGGCTCGCTGGAAATTTCGAGGCGATTTCTGGTAAAGCCTGGATTTGATTAAAGCCTCCAGAGACCAACACGCATGTTCAGAAACTCTCCCGGCCAACGTGGAAATGCTACAAGAGCTCAGGGAGCCAGCACACCCCCCTGTGAGCACTGGTGGGGATGGGATTTTATAGCACAGCAACCACCCAGCAGCTCACACTCCTCCACCAACGCTTGCTCCACTCAGCCGAGCTGTTTTACTTTGCAAATAAATTAAAAAAAGCCCAAACCAGCCCCCAAACCTTTGTTCCCGGCTCCAGCAGAGTTAATGCGCAGCTCAGCATTGCTGCGTAGAGTTGGGTTTGGTTTTCATTTCTGCACCGTTTGCTGGGTCAAAGGGATTTTAGACGGTTCAGGGGCTCTCCCTTTGGTCACGCTCATATGACAGAGGATGTTTCAGCTGGAGGATGAAGCTCCGGCTGTCCCCACTCGCCCTCAGGCTTGTGCTGATAGTCACTGGCGTTGGCCAAGGTGTTGGCCAAGGTTGGCTGGCTCCAACTCCTCAACCGCACAAGAGCAAAATCAAACGTCCTCCACCTGGGAAAGCTTTGGGTGATTTTTTGCGAGGAAGGAGAGACCACTCTGGGAGAAGAGGCAACAAAACGAACCAGCACCACACTATTATTTTTCTTTCCTTTACAACTCCTTTAACTTTTGACGCTCTTCTTTCCAGAGCTGGGGGCTTTGGTTCAGCTCTCCCACCAGGAGATGCCACAGCAGACAAAGTACAAAAAAAAAAAAAAAGAGACAGCGGGTAAGGAAGATCCAGGCTGCATTTAGGGCAGCAAATCTCATCAAGCCAGAAAAACTCCTTAGGGTCATGTCCAGCTGAGCCATGCAGCTCTTCGACCGGTCCCCCGCAACAGCTACAAACCATCACAGCCCCCGGCAAAGAAATGGTTGATAGAAATAGAACTCCATCCCACCCACAGCATCCTACTCTCTTCTTCCAACAGTACCACCTCCCTAATATTTTGCCCCAAAAGGACGTCACCAATGCAGCTGCGACCTACCTGCTAGCCATACCGTGGGAGTTCAGCCTCCTGCAGACAACCCTTCAGTACCCTGTGGTGCAAGTCCAGTGAGTCCCACACCAGATTCATCCAACCCCCGTGTGAAATAACTTTCTCCACATTGGAGCTACCCTCGTCCTCACTCCCTCCTGCTGCAACAGCTGAGAAACATTATGGCAAAAACCATGGAGGTTAGAGGGAAAAAATAAGTTAGCCTGCACAGGATCCAGGAAACTGTTAACTTTAAATGACTCCACTGAAATCTGATGATTTTAAACAGCCAAGCTTTGGGGTTGGGTTTTTTTTAGGGGAGTGGGGGGGGAGGAACTGTATTTTAATCTGCTTCAGATTTGTGAGAGCGCAGCCAAAAGAAATAAAAAAGAAGTCATAAAGAAGGATGAAAAGTTTCTGGTGCAGAACAAAAGCCTCCCTGTTGCTCTCTCCATGGCTAAGGCATTTCAGAGCAGGCAGATGCCCCTTCTGGAGCACCCGCCACCCCCAGCAGGTCCCCGCACCTCCCCGGGATGGGGGGCACAAATTGCCCAGAGAAAAGGGGGTTGGTACCGCAGAAACCTTACAGAGGGGAGGCTTTCCCCAGTTCTGGATGAGAACCCCTCTGTGGCGTGAGGTTGTGGCGGGGGGGAAGATGCCGACTTGCTCTTCGTCTAAAAAGTGAACCTGCTGTGATGGCAGAGATGAAGCCATGAGGAATTTGGGCAGGCACCTGCCCGATGCCCCATTTCCCTGAGGTCTCCGACTGTGCCTGGGTCCATCGGGTCTGCACGACCTTGCAGAGAGAGAAATCACAGGAAGAAGACTGTGAAACATCGAGGGCCGGGAAGGGTGCCTGCCAGCCAGCAGCACTCAAAACAGAAGAAATAAGTCTGCTGAAGAAAGATAAACCTGGGGAAAGAGTGGGAAGAAAAAGCCCTGAACCAGGAAAGTTGTATGGGAGTCCCAAGGGCTGACTGGAGGAAAATCTTTCAAGTGCGCATAAAAAAAAAGTAAATATATATATACACATGCATATTTCTTTGCAATGTATCTATATATAGCAATGTATTGTATATATAATGTATTGCAAACAATATATGGGGGGAGAGAGAGAGAGAGATTGCAAACACCTTTGACTAAAGCAAAGGAGAGAAAATCTGATTTTCCTAGGCTGCAGCATGGAGAGAACTGGAGAGTATTTATTTAACGATACAACAGCTTGCAAAAATAAAAAGGAACGGCAGTGTCCTCGCAATGGGGCCATATGCAGGGATGCAGAGAGAGCTGGAGATGGCAACGCTGCAAAGCAGAATGACCTGACTCCTTGCCTCCTCCTTTGTTACACCCTCCAATGAATCAGCAACACAGGGCCAAGCACATCCCCGTTTCTTTGACGACTACAAAAAAGAGCTTTAATTAAAAGCCAAGTTACGGTTAATGGCATATCAAGAAGTCAGGAAGTGAAGTATTACAGGTCAGCATTAACTCGCCAGCTTCCCAGCGCTTTGATTACAAGTTGGGCTGTTAAAGGCAAACCTAAATAAGCCACCTAGCCAAATTAATCCCTATTATAATCATAGCAAGCACTTAATGCGCTTAGTAAGAGGTCCAACCTCTTACCTAAAGCTTTCATCGGGAGATCTCAAAGGAATTAATAGAGGAGGCAATTATCTTCTTACAGGCAGAGAAACTGAGGCAGGGAGGAGGGGAACAAGACAGGAGAGCCGTGGTCCCCGAGGCCGGGGGGTGACACCAGGGATGCCACTGGTCCACTGCAGGTGATGCCATGAGCCCCAAATTTTTTTCTTTCCTGCTGCTTTGCCACATGTATTTAAACTATGCGCTCCTTCTCTGGGTTTTACTTATTAAAATGAGCTGCTTGCACTTTTAAAAAAATGTTATTATTATTTATTTAGAACACCAGTGCATAAAAGGGCCACGTGAGTGCTGTGCATCATACCTAAATATAGCCCAGGCGCTGGGCGGAGGGGTGGTTTCTGCCTCTGCTGTTGTAAATAAAAAGCCATTTTCAGAGGGATTTACCTTATGGTTTGAGACGAACGACTTCCTCCGCAGGGATTCAAAGCAAACCCAGGCTGGTCTGAACCTCCTGAACCATTAGCTGGGGAAACTGGATGGAGCCGGTGGTCTGAGCCCCCACAGCATCCCACTGGCCAAGTTGGCGGAGCCAA